AGTGGAGGAGCAGCTGGCCAGGCAGCGGGAGGAGGAGTCGCAGCAGCAGGCTGTGCTGGAGCAGGAGCGCCGGGACCGGGAGCTGGCCCTGCGCATCGCCCGGAGCGAGGCGGAGCTGATCAGCGATGAGGCGCAGGGCGACCTGGCGCTGCGCAGGTACCGGGCTGCGGGCTGCGGGCTGCGGGTGCCCCCTCCACCCCTTCACCTCCGTCAAGGGTGGGGAGAGGAGTCTTGTCCTCAGCCCCTCGCAGATTGGAGGTAAATTCATTTCAACATTGTTTGTATCTGTTTTGAGACCCAAAAGAACAAAGGAGTGATTTTTCATGAAATCGTTACATTCTTGAAAGGTAAAACAAGCTGATTCCTCTGTTAAGAAAATATTTTAACTTGGACTCTGAAACTGGCGGAAGCGTAGGTGTACTGGGTAGACGGCAGGTTTCTAGGTACAGTACTACTTACTTAACACAGACAGAAATGAATGCAGTTTAATATATTTGAGGTGAGGATCCTGTTTAACGTTTCATATCCTGAACACTTGAAATGAGGAAAAATTTATCCCCGCTGTGAGTGGATTTCCTTTTCTACATGGCAGATTAGTCATAAGCATTTCTGAATTATCTCTAAACACTAGAGGGGAGCAGGAAGACCATGGGATTTCTTAATATTTTGTACAAAGTTATAGGACAAGTTTTAATATTTTTCATGTTAAAGATTTAGAGTATAAAAACAGTTACTTTGATTTTTGGCAGTGGCGGGCAGTACTGCAGACTGAACTGAGCCTTTGCATTAAGCTACATCCCAAGCCCTTTAAACTTTTTTTAAAATTTTGAGACAAGGTTTCCCTAAGTCATTAAGTTGTCCAGGCTGGGCTTGAATTTGTGATCTTCCTGTCTCAGCCTCCCAGAGTGCTGGGATTATAAGTGTGTGCCACTGTGTTCACCTATTTTGATTTGTTATTTGTAAAAAGAAAGCAAGACTAGTTCTTCTGCATGTGTGCTGTGTACATACTGAGAAACACGTAAAAATGTGTAACCTTAGAATATAGTTTATAACAAAAGCCCAGGCATGGTGGTGGTGGATGTCTATAATCCCAACATTAGGGAGGCTGAGGCAGGAGAATAGCTTCACGTTCAAGGCCAGCCTGGGCTGCATAGTGAATTCAAGGTCAGCCTGACCCTGCATAGTGAGACCCTGTCTCAAGAAACTGGAAACAAACAAAAACAACTCCCACAACATTGTTAAATCACAACCACTAGAGGAACTATTTTCATCTTAAAAGAACATCAACAACAACAACAACAAAAAAAACCCCAAACCCCTGGGTTCAAATTGTAAGGCAGCTGCAATTGAAATTGTTAATTTTATTTAAGTGAGAACGTAGATGGGGAAGAAAAGTTGTTGGCTAAATTGCCTCTGCACATTTTTCTAGTGAGTAACTCCTGGAGAATCTCTGGGTTATAGCTGAGTGTCACGCTGTAAGTGAGCAGAGCAGGCTGTGCAGACAGAGACGGTATTATAGCTGTTAGCTGTTCACTCTTGAGTTTGAGTCCAGTGTTTGGGCTCTTCACTAGTATCTCGTTGTTAAACTTTTGGGCCCTGCTGTCCTTCTGTCCTTCCCCGTGTTTGCCAAGATGGCTGCTGGTGCTTTTGTATGTCACTGCCCAGTGCCCAGGCACGCTTGGGAGGACTGTTTTGTTGGTTTTTGTTGTTGTTGTTTTTTGAGACAGGGTCTTGCATTGTAGTTCAGGCTGGCCCTGAACTATGTAGCCCAAGTTGGTCTTGAACTCACAGCGATCCTCCTTCCTCAGCCTCCCAAGTGCTGGGATTACAGGCGTGCGCCACCATGCCGGGCTGGCTGCTGTTTTGTCTAGGGTCGTGTTCACGAGTCATCACTGGTCTGCATTGCCCAGTGTACACGTGTGTGGTTGAAACAGTGAGCTCACATCTGGTGCTGTTCCACACGCTGTGGACAAGTCACTGGTTGTCTGCAGGAAGGTGCCCTGTTCCAGGGTGATTGGACCCAGAGGGAGGGTGACCCTGAGGACCTATACAAGTATCAACTTACCGATGCTTCACCTATGCAGAATAATTAGGCTGCAGGAGCGTCATGCAGTAATGAGGTATCCAAGCCACTGCTGCTGGAAAGGCAGAGTGAGTCACAGTTCTCCTGTGTGATGCTCCAGGGATCATGTTCTTTCCTCCACATCCCTCTCATGGCCTCCCTGCCAGCCCTCCTCTCCAGTCCTGGGCCCTCCTGAGCTCCTTCCCTTCTCTGGTTATTTTATACGCCATACTACGAGCATGAGCATTTCATTATGAGGATGTACAAATATTCCATGTTTGCTAGTTTTGTCTTATTCTGTGGGCTGTAAAAAAATGTTGTTGAATATTTATTTTCCACCTGTTAACACTGAATTCTTTCCATGACATACTTAGGAAAGATATTCTTTAAGGACACCTGTTAAGATGATAGCCTGAGAGGTTGTCCTAGGGCTATGTGTGTATTAATATGTGTGATGGATTCTGCTTCAGTAAAAATCTGCAAGTTTACTTTTTCAGCTCGGTTTCCTATCCCGTAACTTCTAAGTAAGAATTGTTTTCCGCATATGTAATATAGTGTAAAATATAATCTTAATCAATATGATCCTTGCTGCAAAGTGATGATTGAAAATTGCCTGAAATTATAAAGTAATACCCACATTCTTTTAAGAATGAATCGCACAGTATATGAAATTTCCAGTTTAGATGTATTTGCTCTTTAATTTTTATTGAACATCTTTAATTTATTCCTTTATAATAATTGTAATGAAAATTTAAAAATATACTGAAATTTGGAATGATTTTATGTGGATTAAAGATGATTGAAATTTTTAAATCAGTAAATTAATTACCACACCACAAATTTACACAGTTGAGATTTTTACAGTTTAGTATTGGTCATGATATTAACTGAAATATATTCTTTCCACAGAAATGATGGAACAAGACCCCAAATGACACCGTATGTCATCTCCCTTTACATTAAAAAAAAAATAGGTTGTGAGTACTTCAGAGGAAGAAGTAGTTTCTTTCTTGCAGTAAATTTTAGGTTATTTCCTTTAAAAAAAAAAGAGAGAATAAATTAACTCATTTTTTATTTCCTAGGGAAAATGTTCACTACTTAGAGTAGTTTATGACGTGTGTGTGTGTGTGTGTGTGTGTGTGTGTGAGTGTGCTGTTTTTGTTTAAACTTTACTGGTTTGTCTTATGTGTTTTTAACTCTCTCATGCATCTTTATAGCAGCAGGTGTGGAAGAATAAATTAGAATAAGCAATATACTTAGTTTTTAGTATACATGATAATTAATTCTACTGCTATCTAAAGTAGACATAACCTGAAGTTAACCTTTTATAATATAAGTCTTCCTGCAGAGATAGAATACTGTTAACATTTGGAATTTAAATAAAATATACCTTCTGCATGAATAAAATATTTTGCAGTGTGTATAAATCTGACATCTGACAGCTTTAAGGACACCAGTGTAATCTTTATAGTGATGGTTCTCAACTACCAGACTTCAGTATGAATAAAAAATATTTTATAAATGATATAAACTATGTAAATACAGTAATTCTCTCCAAAAGCACACATAAAGGAGAAATAAAAGGATCACTTATAATAAAATACTAATTTACTTTGACATGAAAGTGCTTGTGAGTAATTGGAGCAGAAGACATAATCAGGTAATCAGATATATTTTATTCATACGTGGAATCACCACGAGTGCTATATCTGCAAATGAAACTGGTACAGGCGTGCCGCATTAGGCGTTCAAATGCCAGGAAGTTGGGAACAACTCTTCCTTATGTTTCACTCAACTACATAGTATCTGCAATCCTAGAAAAATTCTGTGTTAAAAGTGCACGTAAAGCTTTGTTTACCTGTGAAGTATTTATATGTGTGTTTCGCCTTTCTATGCCTGGCAGACGTGTCTAAGATACATAGGTTATGAGACAGCTCTTCCTCTGCAGGACATTTAGAATTCCTGACTCACACCTCAGCAGGGCCTAGAGCACACGCCCACATCCTGCCTGACCTTAGCAGCACCAAGACTTTCCAAAGTATCTGTGAGTGGGCATTGTTTGTCCTGTCTCCACTGGGACTGCTGCTTTGAGCTTGAGTTAAGTCTGGCAACAGTGTCTAATATAAAATTGTGAGTGTTTGGATACAGTTGACTAAAATCAGAGGGAGCAGAGTACCTAGAGATGCAGGGGCCTTCTGCCTCATGAATGAGGGGTAGTGTGGTGCAGGCCGGGTCTGCTGACACGGGTCAGTCGGGACGATGAATCGGCAGGGGTGACCGGGCACACAGGAGTCGCTGCACATCAGCACAGCAGGTGCAAAGGGCTCTGAAAAGCTGGCTCCCTGGAAACCTGCTGTGGGAACATGAGTGGAGGAGGCTTTAGGAGGAAGAGAACACACAAGGTAGGGCGATGATAGCAGTACAGTGCTTTCCAGATCACTCTGAATTTGAAAGTTAGAAGAGTCTGAGAAGCTAGCACCTTCAAGAGAGACTTATTGAAGAGTGTACTGCTCAGAAGACAGTTTGTACTGCGTGGTATTTGTGTGTGTTTTTGTTTTGTTGTTTTGTTTTTGGTACCAGGGATCGATCTTGGGTCCTTGTGCTTGTGAGGCAGGTGGCGGCACTACTGAGCTGCATCCCCGGTCCTGTGTGTCTTTTGTTTGCTCTTCTTTCTCGTCAGTTTGGAAAGATTTCTTTTTCTCTGACTCTGCTGGCTTGGATAGACCAGTGTTGGTTTCAGGGAAGGAGGAACAGGAGACCGCTGCTTCCTTAATCCGGCCAGCCCTGTGCAGGCTTCCGGAAAGCAGCTGCGCTTGCCTTCTGCCCTTGTGATTTTTGACTAATTTGGAAGGTTAAGGTATGAGGTCACCAGAGTCCGATTAATAGAACAAAGGAGAAATGATTAATTAGGAAGGAAAGAGCCAAGGCTAGATAGATAGTTAAAATGTCCACGAACACAATGAAATTCGTTTACTATTTCAAAGAATTAAGCAAATACTGAGAAAAGTTACACTCCCCTGGGTAATAAAAGAAAAATAAAATTTTGCTTTTGGAAAATACTTAATCCTTGGAAGATTCAAATGCTTTAGATCTTTCACTTAAGTGCTTGAATTGATTTTCTTTTTAAGACATGCCTTGATTTGGAATTTTAGAGCTTTGACTACATCAGACTCTTATTTAAACTCTGACACTGTAAGACATTGGCGTGCTTTACTGCTGCCCTGCCTCACCCAATTAATATTCACTGAGCAACCCTGGTGTAGAAATTCTTGTACAGAATCATTATCCTGCCAGATTCCTGCTATGCGTTTAGAATGTGTTACTTCCATGCTTTTCATAAAAAAGTACAACAGAGGCAGGGTGGCTTTCATGAGATTTGCTCTGAAAGTTTTTACTGCAAAAATAGAGTTGCATTCAAATAATTTTAATTGTATTTAAACAAAAGTTTTGCCATACTTTATTAATGGATTTGTTGAAAGGTGTCTCATATGCTTTTACAAAGTGAAATAATTGTGAATGCCTAATGAATTAATATAGTAAAACATGCAATTTTAATTATACTCTTCTTGTTTTAAGTAATGTATGTGACATGGTTTGTATATAACTGGTGTGTTAATCATTTTTCTTATAGGGAACAAATGGCCAAAGAAATGTCAGAACTTTTGTGTAGGTTAGTGCATTGGATTGGGGGAAATACGTTCACCTCAAAATCATATTTTAAAATCAGTTTGGATTATTTGGACTAGAACCTGTCATATGAATAGCCCACTCTTTCCACGTAAATTTTGTACAGGAAATGTCACTTCCCTCCTACCATCCTGCAGTAAAAAAGAGAGACAAAGTAACATTCCACCCGTCCTGTAAATTGGTGCCTCTCCGTGGGGAATATTCTTGACATTTTTCCGGGTTGCTTCCTCCTGGCTCTTCTGTCTTGCTTGTCCTGGGTGCACCAGCTCCTCCTGCTCAGCAGGGGCCCCTTCCCCTTGCCTGACAGAAGCGCTGGGCCTTGTTGACGGAAGAAAGGGAAGAGTGTGGCTGCCCAGGGCTCTGCCCCACAGCCCTCCTTAAAACCACCAGTGTAAATTGAGTTCCCAAAACTTGTGGCAGGATCTGGTCCATTTCCTTTATAAATGGGTGTCAAATCAGTAAAATCTTAATTAGCAGTTTTAGAGTTACTACAAGTTAATTAAAAGCGTTAAAGGAAAATCAAGTCAATTTTGCTATAACTTTTGTTAATTTGCATGATTGTCTATGTAACTAGTTTAATAATCAGTAAATTATACCTTGACTTTCCTATTTTAATAATTCCAGAGATGAGGGTACTGCTTCTGATGCTGAATGTATTTTTAGCAGGTGTATTTTTTTGGGGGAAGTAGGGTGAACTCAGAACCTTGCACTTGCGAAGCAGGTGTGGTACCACTGAGCTAAATAATCCCCAGCTCTACTAGGTATATTTTTGTTAGAAGTAATGTGAGTGAAAAGCTAGCACTATTAAAATGATATTTTAAGCAATGAGATTTTGGATTCAATATCTTTTTTTTTCTATTTTTTTTGGTACCGGGGATCAAACTCAGGCCCTTATGCTTCCAAGGCAGGCAGCAGAACCACTGAGCCAAATCCCCAGCCCAGTGTCTTTTAAATATATATTCAAACAATCTGTAAAACTGTACATTATGTAAATCATCTTTCCCTTTAAAAAAAAAAAGACAAAGCAACAACAAAACCCATAATGAAAAGCTGTCTTCCAGAAAAGACTCATGGAAGAGATGGGGGAACAAAAGAGAAAAAACTTTTTTTGGTCAGTTGATTGAATGGCAGTTGAAGACATAGAAAAGAAAATAAGAATGTTTGAATAAATATTGAAGCATGCCTTACTCTTAAGGGGAAAAGAGAGCTTGCTGACACACAGCTGGCTCTTTTGAGCAAAGCAATTAAGAATAAAAAGCTACATGGAAAATTGCCAGTCACAGAGCTTGGAGAAGTATAGATTCTGCAGTAAACCTAAACCAGATTTTTAAGCCAATAAACATAGGAAGTACTAAATGGCCACATGTTGCTGTTTAGCCAGTCTTGTATGTAACTAACAGTTATGATAGCAAACAGAAGTACTGTATGCAGTGTGAAATTTGCTATTTTTTATCCTCTAAAATGAAGACACACACATAGGCCTTTTGATGAGACAAAGATTTCTTATTTCCTTCATTTTACGCTTAATACTTAAAGTAATTTCTAGTACTTCAGGAAAACAGTAACATTATTTTCAAATTTCTTTGTGTGTTTGTGTTTGTGTGTGTGAGAGAGAGTTCTGGAGCTTGAACCAGGGCCTTCGCACTGAGCTGTAACCCAAGCCCTGTTTAATTTCTCTGTTTTGAGGCAGAACTTACAGTGACTAAAGTGCCTGGGCTGGTCTAGACTTTTGTGATTCTCCTGCCTCGGCCTCCTACCACACCTAGCTCCAAATTTAGCTTTTCAGTAACATTAGTCATATTAAGTAATCTGTATCTTGATGGTTTGTCAGGATTGATGCTATCTTTCAAATGTAAAGTCATGAAAAATATATGGTTATTTTCAGGTAGTATATTTCTCTTTAAGAGGAAGAAAATGTTTTTGAAGTAGTAGGTGATGGAGACTTTCCTTGTGTGTTACCCAAGAAGCAATGTTTTGAGCAGTATTTAGTTATTTTAGTATTTGTGCCTCGTCTTCTTTTGCAGTCTGATGTGCTTGAACTTTTCATGTGTTTCACTGAGCTTAAAAATCTTGTGATTTGATCCTAAGTTTCTGTCTTGTGCAAAGTATAATCTCTTGCTGAAAAATAATGTTCATTATTACAGAAAAGAGATTGTTGACATATTTTCTGATGAACGGTCTCAAACTGAGTGCATAAAGGCCCAGCCTGATGTCCTGAGTAGCACGGCTGTGATGAGCCTACTGTGTTGAGTGCTGCAGATCTTTGTCTTCCTCCTCCTTCATCTAGTTGTTCCTCCTGAGTGGGGAGATTCGGAACAGTTGACCCTTTGTGATCACGCTCATGAACCTTGCGATCTATCGCCTCTTCCCATGGTGCACTGGTGGTCATACTGTGGCTCATTAAGCAGGAGGAGCGTCTATCTGCTCATCGAACTCTTCTGCGTGTCCCTGCGGCCTGTCCTGCAGGCTCTGGTGCCACGGTCGCAGCGTGCCCCACCACAGTGCATCCCGGGCCAACAGTGTCAGGAAGTGGGGCCCTCGGTGTCCCTGCAGGTGGGGACTGGGAGGCCCACTGTGGAGGGCTGCTCGCTGACCTTTCATCTGTGGAGGATTTCTCTCGAGTTTGAAGTGTGTGTGTGTGTGTGTGTATCACACACACACACACACACACACACAACGGTATTTTTAAACTTTAAATGTTCATATTTAACAAATCTGGGGGAAGCCTGTGGTACTATTGATAGAAATCCTATTGTGTTTCAGGGCCTGAGATGTAGCTCAGCAGAGCCTGTTTGGCAAGCGCAAAGCCCTGGTTCAATTCCTGGTACCAGAAAAAAACAAAAAACAAACAAAAAACCCCTAATGTGTTTATCATTTGGCACACTGGAAGATTTTAATTTATGTGATCATCTTTCAGCTTACTTTATTTTTGCGGTGCTGGGGAAACTCGGGGCTTTTCACTCCCAGCCCTAGTACCATGTGTAATCTCATCTCTCAAAACTTAGGCTTTTCTAGTGATTATTTCCAGTTCTGGAACTTACCTACACTTTCTTGCTTCTTTAGTCAGCGTTCACTCATGTTTCCAGTTTCATTATGCAAAACTGTCTGATAATTGCAGAGGCCCTGCTGTACAAGCCACCAAGGCAGCTGCCGGGACCAAGAAGTACGATCTCAGTAAATGGAAGTACGCAGAGCTGCGCGACACCATCAACACTTCTTGTGGTGAGTGTGCGGAGAGGGTGGAACATGAAGGGTCATACTGATTCTGTCTTCTTCTTTTCAGCTGTGCCGTGCTGGGGCTTAAACCCAGAGCTTCACGCGTGCCAGAAAAGACCTCAGCACTGAGCTCACCGCTGAGCCACAAGTAATAAAGTAAATACCTAAGTTGGAGTAGCATGCCTATGTAAATTGGCTTAATTAAGCCCTCTTACTTGTCTCCTTGATATGAAGACAGTTTATTCACAAAGCCAAAGGAAAGACATACTTATTAAATTAAATGCATTTTGCTTATTTCTTACCTAGGTCAGAGAAGAGGAGTTAATACAGACTATGGATTGGGCCTGAGTTATGGCTGCCCCTTCTAATATTACTACTAATAGTTGTGTTTTGTTTTGTTTGTGGTACCAGGGATCGAACTCCGGACCGTGCACTTGGCGGCGGAACAACTGAGCTAAATCCCCAGCTACTACTGATAGTTTAATACCTGTATTATCTGAATCTTCTGACCTATGAGTCTAGAGTAATAGCAATGCAATAACTTCTTAAAGCCATTTTTCTTCAGCAGAACAGTTGTGTAAAACAGTACTCAGGAGGTCCCATGTAGTTACGTTCTTGTTCAAATCACAGTGTCGTAATTCAGGATGCTGACTAGGAGTGAAAGCATCATAAATAGTAGTGTTTCTCCCTGTGTTCCTTTTCCTCCTCACTGAGTATATCTGCCTGACTGTAAACCAAAGAGAAGGTGGGGGAGAGAAAGAGGAGATCTGGCTTGTATTTGGGTACAGTGACTTTTTAATCTATTGTTAACATTTCTGATTCAATGTCTTTGTGTTTAAAAGACTTGTTTAGTCCAGAGTTCTTGTGTGGAACAAATGATACAATAATAATAATGTTTGAAAAAAATGCTCTGTAAATATAAAAGATAATTTTATAAGTTCTCATCTTCATGAATAACTTGATTTTCAGTTATGAATAACTTGATATTCAGTTAAAAAAACTTTATATGTATCTGTGCCACAGAATAATTATGCTAGATGAATAGATTAGGCTATTAATCCTTTTTGTATGTGTCTTTCTGTGTAATCAATAGATATTGAGCTCCTGGCAGCTTGCAGAGAAGAATTTCATAGGAGACTAAAAGTGTATCATGCTTGGAAATCTAAGAACAAGAAGAGAAACACTGAAACAGAGCAACGAGCTCCAAAGTCTGTTACTGATTATGGTAAAAACAAATCTGTGCTTTTGAATGTTTCAAAGTATATGTATGTAAATATATGTAACTATGCATAAGATATTTGGGTAAAATATCCAATATAAATTATCTCCATTGTACACTGTAATCTCTTGAACTCAATAGAGAACCACAATGGCCTGTCTTTTGTATCACATTTTAAAGTCATATTTATTAAGGTTTATTGAATTTACCTGTTAAAATAAATTTTGTAATTTTTTTTTGTCTGTACTGAAGAGGTTATGTAGCACTGCTGTAAGTACGTGGTTTACTTACACACACACACACACACACACACACACACGTCAGGATTACATATGAAAATGTAAAGATTACTATGCTTTTTTAACTTTACATGTGAAATGAGTCTTACTTATGCAAATGAGCATTTTTGTACTTGCCAAAAGGGTATTGTTTAAATTTTTCCTTTTTAAATTTATTTTCATCTAGATTTTTAGAATATGTCCCTTTTCATATATAGGCACATGTGCCTTCTGATTCTTCCCAGACCCAGAGTAGGATTATAGCTGGAAGAGGAATGGAATTGTTTCCTGGGCTATTTATCCTCTTGGCCTTTGTTCAGAAAGGTTCACTTCGAACATTACTTTCTAATAGTGTGAAAATATGGGTGTGTGAACTGTTACCTGGGTTCAGACTAGAGTTTTGCCTGGCCCATGATTTGACTTTTTAACTGGGATTTTGTTTCGCAAAAGGCCAAGTGTGTCCTTGAAATTGGAAATAGAATGTAGTAAAAGTGGCACAAGCTCCAACCTTAACTGAGAATACCTGTCATATATGATCTTTAAGTCAATAATTGGAATTTTATTTGTTCAACTTGTTACTTTAATACTGTCATAATTTATTAGCTTAAATCCAGGTAACATCAAGGTGACAGACAGCAGGTTTGAGGTCTTTTTTTTTTTTAAAGGGATGTGTTCTCAATACTTGACCAGTATAGTTTACTAATGTGGGACCCAAGTTCATTTAGAAAAGGAGCTTTTTGATATATTTTGTTTTTCTCACAACGTTCCAAGTAAATTAAAGCAATATTTGTTTGGGTTTTTTTTGTTTGTTTGTTTTGGTTTTGGTTTTGGTTATTTTGAGACAGGGTCTCACTGTGTAGCCCAGGCTGACCTCGAACTCATAGTGATCCTCTTGCCTCAGCCTCTAGTGCTGGGCTGACTATATGCGTGTGATACCACGCCCGGCTTGAAAGCAACATTTGAATGAGTTGAACTGGTAAAATGCCTGTGTTTCTAAGTTGCCACAGAGAGTGCATTGAAGGCACTATTATTTTGAATGAGGAAGGTGTTGGTGGCAGTGGTTGATCCAGGGTGGCCTCAGGCAGAGTGTAACTTTCAGGAGGAATCAGGAGAGCACGTTGCAGCCAGCCCTCTTCTTCCAGTTTAATTTTTTTCTGTTGTGTATTGAAGGTGACCGACCGCATGGCTCCATCACCTGTCCATGGTGTGTGTACTACGCTTCTGCCATAAGTTACCTCTGTTTTGTAAAAAATAGCAGTGAGCTCTTCTTTTTAAATATGGTCTTTTTAGCCATATATGTTATAATTAGTACCTTCAGCCCGACAGACTTTCATTGTATTGAATTTAAAAATGTATACATCTGAGTGGTCACACTTCTTAAAAGCAATAGACATGCGTATTGGGCATGCAGACACATATTTTTTTTTTGTACCAGGAATCAAACTCAGGGCCTCCTGCTTGCTAGGCAGGCACAGTGCCACTCAGCCACTTCCCTGGGCCCAGTCCATGTATTTTAAAACAATTTTTTTTATTTTGGTACCGGGGATTGAACTTGGACCTTCATGCTTGAGAAGCAGGTGCAGAACCACTGAGCCAAATCCCTGGCCCTAGTCCAGTCCATGTGTTGCCCCCGCACCGTTAAGTTTAGGGATCTTGTACCTTTACATGTTGTATCTCGGTTCTTAGTTTTTCCCCATACCCCTGCCCTCCCTTCACCCGCTTCACCCTTCCTTATTTACAAAGACTTTGTTTCCATTTTTTCTTTTTTTCACATTTCTTCTTTTCCCTGTTTTTCTTTCCCCTCCCTTCCCATTTCTCCTTTAGCCATTTTCTTCCTGTTTCACACTTATCAGTTACATCATTTGAACCTTATTTACACTTTTCGTTTTTCACACCAGAGAAACTATTCGGTATTTACTCAAGTGTGTCATATTTGTTTACTTAAGAGTGTGGCCTCAATGTGCATCCATTTAGCTATGTCTCTAGTTTCTCATTCTTTATGGCTGAGTAGTACTCCACAGTCCATGTATTTTTAAACCAGTGTCTTTGATGCCTGTTATGTCTAATTTTGCCCAGAATGGTGTGTATAGTATGTGGCTCACCTAATTGGTACAAGTACTGTTTCCTTTCATAAGTTAGTAAGGGGGAACAAAAGAGTGGATTACGAAAATTTTCTGAGTCACAACACACACTGAGGTGTATGAATAAATTTAGGAATTTGATGTCAACACTACCCATATATAACCAGCCTGGAGATAATTTGGTGATGAGTCATTTTCAAGATACAATCTTAATTTCTGTATATTACTTAACCTTGATTTCTTTGTATTTTTTCTTATATAATATTCAGTCTGATCCAGGAACATAGCTAAAAAGAAAAGCAGTGGGATTGAGATGCTTACTTGCTAAGTTTAGGAAATTCTGTACTTAGGTGATCTCTAATGGGGCAGCTAAACACCCTTTAAAAGAAACTTTTATGTCATCTGATATGTAGAAGAATTAGAATTCATTCTTTGATAAAGTAAGATGACCGTGTTGGGCTAACGGAAGTGTAATCTGGTGTTACTGATGACGAGAACAGAACCTTGGCCAGGAGGAGTGGACCCCGGTGCTGGGGGCACCCGGACCTGTCCTGCAGCCCCGGAATAGCTCTCTTCTCATTTACTGCAGGACAGAGATTTTCAGAATTCATGTTTGAGGCAATGGCAAATTACTCAATAAAATTTATAGTATTTAGTTGCCTAAAGTAATGCTTTTAGAAATAGTTTTACATTTCCTAAAAGAGAAGGGCATACATTTAAAATTAGAAAATTTCAACAAATTAAAATCGACTGAGTGTATGAAAAAGTTGAAAAAGGTATTGTGTTTGTTAAGTCACTTGTGTTAAGGTTTTGTTTGGGTATTACTGAGACAAATTAAGTATAATTTTTATTTTTTGGCCCTTCTCATATGTGCCTCAGATATGGTTTCCTAAAACATGAATCAAACTAGCCTTTTTAAAAAATCGTAAAGTGATACCTGCTTGTAGGACATTTGACTTTGAATAGGATATTTATTTCTTACCACCTCATTGGATGGATGGCTTTATAAATAGAAGAATGCTCAAACAGCTTTGGCATTTTTTCTTCAACATAAAATATTTGTTCACAGATTTTGCACCATTTTTGAACAATTCACGTAAGTCAATGGGTGGTAACTCATGAGCTAACTGGAAAATGGGTTACTTTATAAAGTACTAACATCTGTTAGACATTGTTTTGCTGCAATTTTAAGTGGAATTGTTGTACATTGAAATTGGTTTATCTGTATGAAGATATATTTTAACTTGAGATGATGCTTTTATTTGAATCATTCCAAAATTTGTATTTAGAACAAAATCTAAATTGTTGTATCAAATTCTTTTAAAAAATAACTATCATTTTAAACTGAGTGTACACAATTCTTATTGTAGCAAGACTATCCTAATGTAGCAGCTGATCTGAGGATGAAGTCTAACTTTTAGGTACTGGTTTCAAACACTTTATTTTCAAATACTGATGGTATCTGCACTTCTAACCAAAGAAATGTAAGTTCTGTATGGTAATATGCACACTTTTAATAATGAGATCATTTTGTTACTTTTGTGGCTTCATATGAGGCATATACTGTTGTAATTTAGAAGCTTTGGCCATCTTAGTATTCAGTATATTTCATCTGGAATCAGCTGAGTGGTAATGATTTGATACAGTACCATACACTGTACATGAGCTGATCGGGCCTGCTTTTTAAAGTACTTCTCACAATTTATAGGGTTATGTTTGAAATAAATTTTATACTTTAAGATAATACCACTGGATATGAAAGAGAGTTTAGATACGCTTCAAGCTTTTAAGATCTGTAGTTTTGAAATTTTCCAAATAGATACTAGTTTTTAAGTCTTTCTCAGTGTTTCTATTTCTCCCTTTTAAAGACTGCTTGGTTTTAAAATTTTATTCTATACATCAAGTAACAGGAGACCCTTATTTTAAAATTTTAAAACAGGTTAATTAATAAATAGCTATCACTACTACAATCAAAATCCAATCAACTGGATGTTAATTTCTAATTCTTAAGATGGAGGGAATTTTTTAAAATCATCTTTGATGGTTTTAATGTTAAATATTTTCTGCAAAGATAATATTTAAAACCTCAAGTATAATCTCTGAGCTGTACATAGTTTCAGGGGAACAGGAACAAAAGAATAAATACATTTCTATTAATATGCTAAAGGTGATGCGGGCTTTTAAAATCACTAACAAAATTGCCTTCTTGTTCTTTCATAGGCATATGTAGCTTTGCTGATTGCCTTTGCTTTTTCTGATTTGCAAAGAAATATGTTCAACTGCTGTAACTCTTTTGCTCTTTCTAGGTGTAAAAAGTAGAGTAAGAGAATCTTCATTCTTTCAGTATTTGTTTTTCCTACAAAAGCCATGTGGCTATTCTTGATTTTTGTATCCTATATAAAAGTTATTGTATAACTTTTTATTGACATGCTTTGATTTCTGTATTGAGACTCTTGGAACTGCAGTAAATGATTGGTACACTTTTACAATTATGTGTATAAAGCACATTGAACAAGCTTACCAAAATTATGCTGCTAAAGATGTAAAATCATTGCTCCAGGGGAATGTTAATTTTTGCAGATAAAACAGTAACCCAATTTTTCAGTAATGAAAATTGAGCGAAAAATAAAACATTGCCACGAGTAGAATGCTTAGTATAGTACTTGCAGGAAAGACTTTTCTTCCCTATCGGGAAGGAGAGTATTGCATCCTTTCTTCTTATCTCAATGGATCTTATCCCAAAAGAACTCTGATTTGGAAGTAAGTAAAAACATTTGAGGGAAAGTTACATTTACTTTTAGAGATTTTATTTAGTCATTAATTGTCTATTATTAACATCTGTGTTATCTCGGCCACTTGAAATCCTCAGATTTGTTGGTAAAAGAGAAAATTTTTATATGGCTTCCACTTGTGGTAATTGTGACTATAACAGATTTTTTAAATTCCTATTTATTTTGTAAATGGTTCAGTAAAGGTTATTTTGCAACTTTCATTTGAAATCTTTGGAGAAAAAATATAAGTTTAGTAAGTAATACTAGTTTGCATTCCTACCATGTCAGTCTATTTCCAGTTACTGGTAACAATCCTGTGTGGGAGTGGGGTACAGTTGTTTCTCCTGGTGATGGTGGGGTGCGTGGTGGTGGTGATGGTGTGTGCGCGCGTGTGCGCGCACACGACACGCACGCGCGATAACAAGGAACATCTGTAGGAAAATACAAAGATGTAAGAAATCATACTTTGAATTGTATTGTTATAGGCGCTCATTTTAGTATTAGCCCCCCCCCCCGCACTCCCGTCCTTGGGCCGTGGTTCTTGGTGCATTTTAGCGGGGAAAATCTGCGGGTGGGTGGGGTGTGTGGTGGTGGTGGTGGTGTGTGCGCGCGTGTGCGCGCACACGACACGCACGCGCGATAACAAGGAACATCTGTAGGAAAATACAAAGATGTAAGAAATCATACTTTGAATTGTATTGTTATAGGCGCTCATTTTAGTATTAGCCCCCCCCCCCGCACTCCCGTCCTTGGGCCGTGGTTCTTGGTGCATTTTAGCGGGGAAAGGCTGTTTTCTCCTTCCTTGAGCTGCTGCTCTAACATTTCTCCCTCTGTGTAACAGCTCAGCAGAACCCCGCCGCTCAGCTTCCTGCCAGGCAGCAGGAGATCGAAATGAACCGGCAGCAGCGATTCTTTCGAATCCCGTTCATCCGCCCTGCAGACCAGTACAAAGACCCGCAGAGTAAGAAGAAGGGCTGGTGGTACGCCCACTTCGATGGGCCCTGGATCGCGCGGCAGATGGAGCTCCACCCCGACAAGCCACCCATCCTTCTCGTGGCTGGTGTGTATCACAGGAGAAAATGTGGGAAAAGAGAAGGGTTAAAAACACTTCGAGTGATACTTTCTGACGTAGAATCAACTCAATTTCAGTGTGGAGTGATGGTGCTTTTCAGTTAAGTTACATTTGCAGGTAATTGAGGGTTAACTGACTTGTAATGCGAAATTGCCTAGATTAATTATGACCTTATAGAGCACACAGAAACTTGTCTGTATCCTAAGAAACTTTGCGTTGATGTTCGTTTACATCTGCTGTCTTGTAACAGCTTGAGGACGTGTGCCATTGTTATTAACCCGATGACTTTTTGGATCAACTGTAGTGTTTATAAATTCTGAAAGGGTCTTTAGTGGGGGCAGATTTGTTTGCTGGTGAGTTTATTAAGCACATTTCCATCCTAGAGAAAACAAAGTCTTAGAAAGCTCTCAGATTTGTGAGCATTGATGGGAATTTCAGGTATTTCTGGAAGAAAGCTCATGAAAGCCCTGAAAAGAGAGAAGGTAACTTTTCGATGTCTCCGGCGTGCAGGTAAGGATGACATGGAGATGTGTGAGCTGAACCTCGAGGAGACGGGCCTCACTCGGAAGCGCGGCGCTGAGATTCTGCCGAGACAGTTCGAGGAGATCTGGGAGCGCTGCGGAGGCATCCAGTACCTTCAGCGCGCCATCGAGAGCAGACAGGCGCGGCCCACCTACGCCACAGCCATGCTGCAGAACCTGCTGAAGTAGCGCTGGGAGGGAGGCCGTGCGCAGGCCCGGAGCGCGACCGCCCGTGCTGGTGTTAGAGTAGCTTAGGCAAGGTGAACGGCTTGTACTAATCATGGCTTTCGTTAATTCGCTTAAGGCTAGTTAAGGTTATGGGAGTGAATTTGGGGCCTGACAGTTGTTTCCTTTATCCAGTTATCGCTCTTCGTCCCCTCCTCTCTCTAAAGCTTGTCAGGCTGGGGCAGATTCCACGCCTCTCACTCTCTGTCGGCAGATCTTAAGTCCTCCTCGATTGTTCTCAAGGAAAAGAGGGCTTTACAGATATTTCAGAAGACATAGTACCTTACATCTGGAGTGATGAAACATTAAATTCCTTCTAAGAATTAAGGCACTTAAAGTGATTACAGCACTGATGTTTGAAAAGCATCTTAAAAGCAGTGAATTTTCTCTTTTTCAGAAATTCACAGATACTGCCTCCAACAATGGAAATTCTTATCCCCCCCGCCATGTGTCTTACTTTGGGTGAAGCAGTTCTTACTAACAGCTAGAATTCTGGAAAGAGCCTTAATTTATTTAGTTATGTTCTGTGATAAAGGGAGTACTCACAGTGCTCAGTACTGATTTGGTTTTCTTTTCTGTCAAACTGTGCTGCCGTCAGAATATTCTTTTGATATTTCGTGAACAATTAAAGGAAATTCAGATTGGTTAGACATTCACAAGTTTTGGGCTAAGTGTTCTCTCATTTAGAAAGGGAGACAGCTTAGGTGGCACTTGGCTTAACTGGACTGAATTCAGATACTCTCAGCTTCATCTCAATTGCGTTTTTTGTATGAGAGTCTGGTATGTTTGAAGCTGGTGTTTGTTTCAAATATCTTTTTAATTCCTAGTGTCGTTTTTTTGGCCTTTTTGAGATTTTGGCAAGTGTAGAGCTCTTTTATAAGCTTTGTAATTCAAAAGCCCTTGTACTTAGTAATTGCTTGTTTCATGTAACAGATAATTTAAAAAAAAAGTTTTCTTTGTGTGTTGTTAGTCTTGACCAAATGTCAGCAGTTTCAAGCCTAGTATTTATGACTTTTAGGAATTTAGAGACAAAAATCCATCAGGGAGTTATGTTGACCTAATCCTAAAGAGTCTTGTTTGTATTTTAGAATAAAACTAGAGAATAAAATTATTCTCTGCACTTTTTTCCTGATTTTTAAATACCCTAACCTTTGAAATGAAGTTTCAGTGATTTTTTTTTCCTAGAAAGACACCCCGGTTAGGGGAATATTTTCCAGCTGACTAGATTAATGTTTGGAAGCCACAGACACTGTTTTCCAAGTCGCTCCTCTTGGTAATGTCTGACCACAGAGATACTTGTTACCGTACTGTACCAGTGACTGCCTCTGTGAAGGAAGTCCAGTGGCCCTGCCTGTGTTGTTAGCGAAGACGGGAAGCCCTTACCTTTCAGAGGCTGTGTTACTCGTCCTTGGGTATTTGGTGATTGGGGACATAAGGTGTAGTTACTGAAATAAACGACCGGTGCACTCTCTCCTGTTTTTCACCTTTAATTGGCATTTTTATTTGTGTAGGGTAGTGAGTGGTACGCTTTATTTCTTAATCAGTAATAAGTGAATCCTTGAAAAAAAAATCTAGTAACCAAATTGATTTTTGATGATCAGTCTGCTGTTTGCAGAAGTTGTTTTGTGTGTATGCTAAATACATGAATTGGCACTAGATGAAAAATTAATCAAAAAGGTTAAAATATAACAAAAGAACTTAATGTTTTTGTGGTATTTTAAGAAATACAGCAAAAGATTGTTATAAGTCTTTTTAGTTTTTGACCAGTAGTTAATAAAATTATATTTAATCTTAAGCTCTTTTGTTTCTAATTATGTCACCCAGCTGACCTAGAAGCTGTCTACTGAAAATAGTCTCAAGTTGACTTTGCCACGCAGGAGAACTGCCCTGATTCAGTAGATTCAGGGTAACCTACATACAGTGGATGAGCCCTCGCTGAAGATGCTTTGCTGGGGAAACTTAGGACCCTCCAGCCTTGTAGGGGAAAGAGCAGAAATGGTGGTCATGTTCACAAGCAAACCTACAAATGCCAAGTGAAATCTGCAAGAATCAAGTTAATTAGCTCATATTCCAATCAGTCATTTTAATTAAAACTTCAAAGTTTAAACCCGTGTCCTGCATACAAAGAACTAATCTTGTAATGCTGGTCTCATCAGTCTGAACATAGTCAGTACTAGTTCCTCCCGTGCTCTTTGGGATGGATAAAAAAGTAGACGTGCACAAAATATGAAAGGGAGGTGCAGAATGTTTTCACATGCAGTTCAATTATAATGTAACCCCGAATTCCATCGGCTTATCTGATGTATGTGTGTGTAATAGGAGTTCTCACTGGAATAAAAAATTTCTTCAGTCTGCGTGTGCTTAAGAACACAGCTTTCTTAGTTTCACAGTTGGGGAGATGTCCCATTCTCAGAAGATTAAATGAAGAAGGTAGGAACAGAGGCTGACACAAAAGACATTCTATTATTGCTCTTTTTCGGCCTCTGTCTTGACTTCTTTAGGTTATTCTTTTTCTAGTACCTGTAGTGACTTCTGTTTTACAAGCAACCGAGAGAAGATACTAAGGAGAGAATGGATGGTGTTAGTGAAAGTTCAGATAGTAGACGCCCTCAGGCAAGAATAATAATAATGAGTATTATTTGCAGAGCTTTAGTGTACGTGTTTGTGCACACATGTGCATGTATTTGTATGCACACGTGTGTGTGTGTGTGTGTGTTTTGCTAGGGATCAAAGCCAGGGCCTAGCATACACTAGGCAAGTAGCCATTAGCCATATCCCCAGGCCCTAATTTGATATTTTCAAAAGATATTTCCACTCACAGGTTACTGCTGTGGTTCTCAGGGGATCCACATATGTAGATATCTGGTTTCTTTACCTTAAATAGGGGAAGGGTGCTTGGATCAGCAGAATATTTGCTGAATATCAATTAATTCAGTATGAGTGACAGACCTACTTTTTTTTTTCAGCTTTAATTGAGTTTATTGGTACATTTTAGGGATACAGTACAGTTACATTCATTGTTGGGATCCTGCACCTCTACATGACAGGTCTTGGTTCTCATTTTTCCCCTTACCTCTGCCCTCCCTTCACCCCCTCCTCCCCTCCCCATCTACAAACACTTTGTTTTCATCTTTTCATTCTCTCACATTTTTTTCTTTTCCCTTTTTACTCTTCCCCTACCCATCAGACCTACTTCTTTACATGGAAAGAAATCCTTGGAGGTAAAGAAATTAGTTCTATGAAAAAGAAAGAAAGGCCTTTGTGCCACTCTTGTATAGTAAAAAGAATCCGGACAAGTCAGCATTGTATAGCAGCCCCCTGAGGATTTCCAGAGGATGTGCTTCTCTGTGCTTCACCTCGTTGGGGTGCGGGCGTAGGTTCTCTTTCCCTGCTTATCATGACCATAACAGCAAGTATTGCGTTTTAATTTCCCCCAGAAGATGCACTTACCAGGGTGAGGGAAGGACTGAGGGGACCTGATAGAATAAGGACAGGTAGGGGGAACAGGTGCCCTGTAAGGAGGGCTCATGGTGGTCAAAGCACAGACACTTGAGAGAGAGCCCTCGGTTGTGACAGGACCACATCCTGAGCACAGTTCCGTTGCGTTCCGATCAGAGAGTTCTTTCCCCAGAGACGTAACACTGAAATGAGTTTGATTGTCTCAGGAGTTTTTTTAGGAGAAAAATGAAAGCGCATTCAAATGAAGAATCTCTTAATTTGTACCAATGTAGAATGTCCCCTTCAGACCACAAGTAGGCTTATTAATTGGCCACTTTTCACGTCTGAAATTTGTTTGCAACTGTTAATTTTTTCTCATTTCATTACAATGTATATCTAATAATTTGCTTCATACCAATGTACTACTAGAAGTACAAATAAATTCTTATGTAGAATTTTCTGTTGTATCTTGTGATCTTGTGCTTTTATTTTTTGTGTTTAAAATTTTATATGGGTATATATTTGTGATACATAATAATTGCATTAATTTGGGAGCGCGTATATATATTTATTTATATGTGTATATATATATTTATATGTATATATATTATTTTGACCAAGTTTGGTCTCCCTCTTTCCAACCTTTCCTTCCCTCCCCAGTCCCTCTCTCCGTCTTGCAAAGTTATGAATGTTACATTTGTTGGAAAATAGGATGTAAAATCTGCGGTCCCAAAGGGAGTCCTTTCAAAGGCTTTAAATAGAATTTAAACCCCTGGCCTGCTCAGCCTGTTGATCTTTTGGGATTGGGCCAGAGGGGAAGAGGCACTCCATCAAAGACTGAAGTGATATTCCAGAGAGAATATCGTGTTTACCAAGTTTTCTTTCTCCATCAAATCCATATTCCCTGCACTTGGTAGACCAGCACTGAAAGTAGGGCGTGGAGCCTGTTGGGGGGAGTGGCAGACAACTTTTTCCTGGGTGCAGTATTTTCCTAGCCTGTTACGCTTCTAACAAGTTTGCTTTTTCTTTCTTTCTTTTTTGGTGCCTGGGATCCAACTCAGGCCGTTGCACGCATGATGTAGGTGGCGGTGGGCGGCACCACTGAGCTAAATCCCTTGCGACACCTTGTCACTGTACTCCGACTTGAAGCCCTTATTCCACATTGTAGATCTTCACTTTGGGGAGGACTGGGTGGTAATTAAGGATGAAAGCTGCGCATGCACAAGACCTACAAGAATGTGTGTTCATTGCATGTATCCTCAGTCCATGGAGGGATGCTTCACCAGAGATTGTTTCCACTGTTAGGAAGCATTTTATTTTTATTTGGGTAGCTGCTGTTAAATATTCCTCTCAGTGTTTACTATTTGCCGCTATATTCTGGCAGCATTAAAATATTTTGCTTAAAATTACTTGTCAAATCTGTAAAGCAAATCCAGAAAAGCTATTAAAAGCATAGATTCATTTTATTAGAAATCTATGAAAAGATTTTGCAGCAAATATTTGATGATGAGATATTTGAAAGAGCTGTGGAGGCCGTAATTGTTCATTGACTAGCACATTAATAACAGGTTGAAGATCTGTTGAAGCCAATCTAGGTACACACAACAGAGTTAGTGTGAGGAAGTATTCATTTAACTTATTTTCAGAAGCATTGTTCATCTGATGAAGATAGGAATTAATCATGTGATAGAGTAAAACCACCTCTCCACTACTTGCCAACAGTGTTTGTTAAAAGTGTTGTGTATATTTGAACTTTAATTCCTTTTACAAAGAATTTAGAACTCATTGACAATAAAATAATCTGAAAGCAGTCATTACTCATACAAAACCAGAGTGCTGAAAATGACTGACAGAGCTGTGTCAGACGTTGTGTGTGGTGCATGTATACACTCATTGTGCTTCTGTATTACCACATACTCGTGCATTCAGAGACCTGTGTCTCTTTGTACAAGTGATCATCTGTATCTGTATCATCTATGTATCTATCTACTGTTTGTGTGATACTGGGGATTGAACCCAGAGCCTTCACACTGAGCTGTATCCCCAGCTTTTTTTCTTTTTAGGGAGCAGTATTTTATTTATTTTTATTTATTTTTCAGCTTTAATTGAGTTTATTGGTACATTTTAGGGATACATTACAGTTACATTCATTGTTGGGATCTTGTACCTCTACATGACAAGTCCTGGTTCTCATTTTTTCTCCCTTTCTCTGCCCTCCCTTCACCCCCTCCTCCCCTCCCCATCTACAACCACTTTATTTCCATCTTTTCATATCTCACATTTTTTTCTTTTCCCTTATTACCCTTCCCCTACCCGTCTCACCTTCCCTACACCTTTAGCTCCTTTCTTCCCATTTCTCAATGTCACTAATCTTATTAGGATCTTCTGTATTATTGCAGATTATTCACACCAGAGAAACTATTCAGTATTTACACATGTGTGCCTTATTTATTTCACTTAGGAGTATATCTTCAATATGTATCCAGCTTTTAACTTTTTTTGTTTTGAGACTGTGTCTTCCCTAAGTAGCTCAGATTAGGCTTGAACAACAATCCTCCTGTCTTGCCCTCCCAGAGTGCTGGGATTATAGGCATGTACCCCTCAACTGGTCACAGTCATGTGCTAAATGTACGTTCTATTAAGAGCTTGCTTTCTGATATATTGCTCCTTTCCCAAAGCAGTGAATTACATCTTTGAATAATATTTTAAAGGCATCTAGAAGAAAGCTTGGTTTACTATCACCTTAATTATCATACAACAATAATTGAAACATGTTTCACTGATTGTATTCTGGGTTTTGGTAAGTTTTCTTTTTTTTTTTAAATAATACTAGTTGTCAGGTACATGAGTTGCATACTCAATAGCTGGTGTGTGCTGGTTCTGGGTTGATCATCTGCCCAGATATTCCTGTGACTGGTGAATATGCCTCTTTCCAAAGTGTTGACAGACTGGATACAGTTTTCCTTGGGAAAGCAAATCATCTGTCTTGAGATAGCGTAAGTGGTAATTTGTACATTTCTGGTGGTTAATTTCCTTCCCAATTTTGATGGTTTAATTCTTCAAATCCTGCAGTCAGTAATTCAGAATTTCTTTTCTTGGCTATCTAGAAGAGAAATAATTGTAAGAATTTAAGAAAGGCCACCCACAATCAAATCATGGTTTATTCTACCCTTGCCTCTCTGGTGAGTGTGAGGGTGTACTTGTCATGCAGCAGATCTTTCTTGAAAGACTGGAGCTGGCCTCCAAATGTTCTTCTAGGAGCAGATGTTCAACAGGAATATATCCTATCTTTTCTTACACTTACTTAGATTTTTGGACTGATCATCTCTTGGAGCAGGGATGGCAAATAGTCTATCCATGAAACCCACATGTTCCCTTCCAGCTGTAGCAGTATCATTCATGATTACCCTTCCTCAAGGAACACAAATGTGTCTTTTGACTCTCACTCAGCAAAGCAGTCAGCTTGGATAAGCAGCATTGTCACTTTACCTTTGTCATTACTGCCTTCAGCTTGCCTTCTTTATTTGAAATGTGGTCTTTAACTCTATGTGATAATTCAAGATGTGTTTGGTGTCTACATCATCCTGAATTTGTTGTCAGTATCAGATTCTTGTGTCCTATCATCATTATATAGACCTAGTCTAAACTTTTTATGTTTTTCAAATTTCTTAGCTCCAAGAAGTTAAAAAGTGTGCGGTATTCCAGTGTGCAATTGGGTCCATGCAGTTATGGTCACATTTGTGTGCTTGGTTGCCGAATCCTGGCAGCTTTCTCAGGTGCAGGCTCTGAGGTTGTGTTTTGTCCAGCACTGCAGATCTTGGGTAGAGTAGACCTTGTTAGCATCAGAGACTAGTGTCAGTTTTGAATATAGGTAATTGTAGGTTAAAAATATCTAGCATTTTTCCTGAACATTGTTTTATGAACCTTAAAGCTCTACGTAGGCTATGTATAACTTGGCAGTATAAAAGTTATTTCCCTTTGTAAGATGAAATTATTTTGGTGAAACAAATTGACGAACTGAAGTATAAAAGACACCTAGAGTACAAAAACATTACCTGTAGTTTGGGAACTTTTGGAGTTCCTCATTGTTCACAAAGCGTATTTCTTATAGTTTTTTCCAACATGTTTTTGTGTTTGCTGATTATTTTTTGATATTAAGAAATTCATTAGCTCCTGTGAGATTATTCAGTGCTATAAGAATATTACTGAAAATTTCAGCTTTGTTGAAACACACTTGATTACCCTCATGTGTTTTTTTATAAGAAAAGTCTGGGAATGTTACACTTGAATTGTTTCTGTTATTTTATGTACTCATTTCAGTTAATGACAGTCTTCTGTCTCTTGCATGAAGAAAAAACTGTTTCCTCTTAACATTAAAGTTTAAAAGTCTACCAAATCAAAGTGATTTATTATTAAAACAGTCAAGTACAGAAACGTTTTTAATTTACTTCAAAATTCAAATTCAGTAACTACAGCCACAATGTAGAAATTAGGGGAGTGGTGGCACTTGCCTCCAATCCCATCAGGTGAGAGCTGAGGCAGGAGGTTCACCGGTTTGAGATCAGCCTGGGCTACACAGCAGGTAGGGAAATACTGTCTAAAAATAAAAAATTAAAATGAGCTCATAAAAGAAAGGAAGGTAGAGTTTTACCTTAGTTTGCAGATTTTGGAAGTTTTTATCATGTGTTTCACGTACTTGTGTTTTAGAGTGATCTGTTGACCTATGAAAGAAAAAAACTTGACATCCTATTTCCTGGGCTTATCAACAACATGAATCCTCAGAGGCAGATTGACTTGAGAGATAAAAACTCTTCTTACATACTGTTGAGAAATGCCTGACATCTGGGGGTTAATAGAGACCACAACTTTCTACTATTTTATTTTAAAAATAGTGATAAATGAAAATGGATAGCATAGTTTTGCATGTGTCTTTCATTAGAGTTGTGAGGAATATGCTTTCTAATCTCAAACTTTTGCTTTCTTTCCTTTTCGTTGACTAAGGTTTCTTGGGCAGTGGTCTCAGAAAGATGGAAGGAAACTGATCACAAAGATGAGAGGGCAAATTCATCTTTTATTGCGTGGAGCTGTTTTTCAAATCAACTTTTGAATTTAGTTGCTGAAAAACAATAGCATTTTGTTCACAAAATTAAAAAATGAAGCTTATTTTAAAGTTTGATGTATATAATTTCATATGAATGTATTACATAGTTTCTGTGATGGTGCATATATATTTTACATTTTGTGATTTTCCTCATTACATAATAGGGATAGTGTTTGGAGATACTGTCCTATATATATTCCCTTACTTGGGTAGACTGTTTTATTTCTCACAACATTCTGACCAGTGCAATTTCAGGGAAAGGGTGAAGGAGGGGAAACTTTATCCCAGGCCCACTGCTTTGTGGAAAGAAGACTGGGATGGGGATTGGGAATGTCCCAGAAGGGGGTTGTGTAAGAAGTTTCTCATCCCCCCTTTCAACCTCAGAGGCAGAACTTTTGGTTCCTATTTGCCCTGGTTGAGAGATATGAAAGCTTTATCAATACTAGGGGACTGGTAGATGTCTGGTATCAGAACCAAGAGATTGCATATGAGGGGAAGGCAGCACTAGAAACTTTCCAAAGGACCAGGTGACCAGGAGAAGCACACCTCACCATATATTCTGAGGGAACCAACTTGCCTAAAGTGCTCACATTATTATTAGATGAAGTTTTAAACCTGGGATTCAGTTCTTCTCCTGAGCTCTATTATTTCTTCCCCATTCCCCAACCTCCCCACTGTCAAGTGGATCAAGCTCACCAAAGGAAGTTAGGAGCAACTGTCTAGAAGGAGCAGTACACTTCCACCTCCCCCCGCACCACCTTAGTTCTACCATGTGGGTAATCATGTGACTGCCCTGTAGTTTAATGCTTCCATGATACTGAAACCTCATAAATATCACTTTCTACTATCATTTACTTAAGTTGGTCCCTATATTGGAAACAAGTTTCATTATTATAAATAGTGCCACAGATCAGATGAGGCTATTAAAAGACAAAAGTGAAAATTTTTAGATTTGAAGAGGAAAAGTCATAATTTACTCTGCTAGATCTAGATTTGCCTTTTATATATATGTGTAATGATAATTGTGATTTATGAAAGTCAAACTCATTAAGCAAAAAAAAAGACCTTTGAAAATGAATTTTGTTTATCCTCGGGAGAATTTTGCAAGTGAATTCCTAGTACACCAATCTACTGGTAATGTATAGAACATCCGCAGTTGAGGAAAACAAGAGTGTGAAGTCTAGTCATGAATCCTGAATGAAGGAAAAGTCTAGAAGGAAAACCATAGTGACAATACAACAAATGACCTTGACTTTGCAGTAGAATGACAACTGAACCAACTGAAATTGCTCTTGACTTCTCAGTAAGTACTTGTGCTCAATATCCTTCTCCTGTCTCTTCATTCCATGTACAACCATAAACATAAAGGGAAGTTTACAGTTCTTTAGAGAATGCTGTCTTCATAGTTACATGATGTTCTGACATTTGTTTCTGAGTTTAAAGTACCAGCTAGAGAATCTAATTTTTTTGTTTGTTTGTTTTCTTGACCCAAAATCTTGCTAAGTCACTAAATTGCCGAAGCCGGGCTGGAATTTGGGATCCTCCAGCTGGGATTACAGGTGTGCACTGCTGTGCCTGGCTAGGGAAATCTCAGTGTTATCTTCGGGGCTGGTCTTTGTTGGTGGAATCAGCCTGAATAACACTAGTGGCTAAGTACTTTATACTGAGGGACATCTAATTTATTCCTTACCTAGACCCATGAATTTATTCCTATTACCCGGTTATATAGACAAGAAGTTTGAAGTTTAAAGAGAAAAAAATGTGTAGCTTAATGTTGCACTTAACTCAGGCCAGAGCTCGAAGTAAACTTGTGTCTAACTTTAAAGTCTCTAGTTTTAACCAATGCCTCTTCCAAGATTGATTACGCTTTCTCAGCTGTTGCTCATGTCATCGTCAGAGTCACATAAATGATGGCATCTTGTGAGGAACTAAAGTGAGTGGGAGCAGGTCACAGGACGTAGGAGGGACCCTCAACAGTGTGGAAGGGTATTTTTGCAGCTTGTATTTATTCTCTTTACCTATGGTCTGGCTCCGTGTCTTAGCCTCTGTGCCTCTTTCAGTGTCTTAGTTCTAAGTACTACTTTATATATGTTTTGCTGTCTTAAAGAGAAATTCCGCATCACTGTACTTCATATACCTGTTGGGGTAATCCAGCAGATGGGGGTTATTAATCTCAGCTACAAAATGAGGAAATTGTGATTTAGAGAAGTTAACTTGTCCGAGGGCAGTTGGCTATTAAATTGCTAGGCTGACATTCTGTCTTCAGAATATTGCTTCCTAACCATGGTCAGGTGCTTGTTTTTAAAGTTGGAAGACTTCAGATGAACAGGATGTGGTTAGTCAAGAAGAGGCTAAATCACTTTAGTTTTTGTGACTTGGTTTGAGTTCGTGGGGTAGGAAATTAGAGCCTGTGGAGTGAGCAGGAGGGAAGCGGAGCAGGCCAGTCTGAGCCCCGAGCAGCACCCAGATGCTGGCGGGAGGTGGCCAATGGGAAAGGTGGGTGGCGTTCTCGCTGGAGCAGCCCTCTGAGGGCAGAGCTGGTCCACGTGCAGCCCTTGTTTCCCTCATGGGACATGAGAAGTGGTGTTACTGTGTTGCCTGCTTGTCCTAAGGCCACCTGCTACTCTCTGAGGTCTGGTTTGTGCATAGAAAGGTGCTTACGTTCCACCTCTTTCTCTTCTCCTCCTTCCAGAAAGCTTCTGTTACCCCTTCTGTCTGCGAATGAACGTCTGACTAAACACATCAAAAGACTTCTAGAGAGCTGACTCCTAAGCCAGGTTTGGTAACCCCTGCCTGTAATCCCAGCATTCTGGGAGCCTTACATCCTGTCTCAAAGAAATTAGAAAGGAAAAGAAAAAAAAAAATGAAAAGGGTTGGGGTGTAGCTTAGTGTGAAGGCCCTGGGTTCAATAACAGGACTGGAAAAGAAAAAGAAAAAAAAAAACTACTATAATACTATAAGGATTAAAATAGAAAATATTGAATAACCAGAGGAAACATTCTAGGTTAAAAAAGCTGATTACAAAACAGAAGTCAGTCTGATTCCAATGATATAAATATGGACATCAAAAGATAGCAGGACATTTGTCTTCTTTCAGTTTTCTGTATGTTTTTTAGCTTTCTTATGATGAAAACTGTCGTGCTTGCAGAGGAAAAACTCCCTGCATTGTAGCACACGTGCACCAATGGAGGGTCGTGAGCCACACATTCTGCCTGCAGTGTCACATGGGGAAGTCCTGCACTGAGTCTGGATCAGTGCTCCATATGGCAGCTGGGCCGGGTGCTGCCTCTCCTGCACGCTGCCCCCCACCCCCACCGCCCTGCAGAGAGGCTCAGATCTTCACATCTCCCCTGCAGCCGGCAGTGGTGCTCAGGGCAGCTGCAATCCTGATTACAGGGATTTGTTGTCATGCTAGGGTTCTCGGAAGTGGCACATAGTGACATCAGTGCCTTGACCTACCTGCATGGAGCTCTTTTTCCCTGGACAGCCCCGCACCCCTCTCCAGGGGCACAGAGGCTTGAGTCCCGGCCCTGCACACTACCTGGGTGTTGGAACCTGGGCCTGCAGCGACATTCAGCATCCTCAGTCTCCTCATTCTTCATGCACTGGGCAAATTCACCACAAGCCAGGGATCCACAGAGATCTGTGGGGTCACCTGTAAGAGACAGGCAGAGTTTGAGGGACGTCTGGGTGGCTGATAGCAGTTAAAGGCAAGAGACTGAAGGTATTTGCCATCACCCACTTTGGAGTGGGTCATACAGTGGTGACAAGAGGAGCGGGTGAGAAGAGAAGCAATCATGCTTTTATCTTTGAAATATGAAATTATGGAGGTGATAATATGTACAGACTTTAGGGCACATCAGTATCATCTAGAAACCTTGTTAAAATAGATTGCTTTGGAAGGCAGATAAATCAAGACATGTCAGAATATTCAGCTCCCAGAGGCCAGTGGCTCCTTCCACCTCCCTTGTTTTTATAGCACTGAGGTCACAGATCTCTCAGCAGAGAAACAGACGGGCCAAGCCTCCCAGTAAAGCAGGACTCAAACTTTTTTCTCAGCCTTGGACAATTCCCCTCTTCCTGGCCACCCTCCATCCCTTGTACCTGTAACTCCTTGTTCTGGTACAGATAAAAATTGGCAACTATGTCCTGTAAGCAGTTTATGACACTTTTCTCACAAGAGTCACAAGGTCGTGTCTTCTGTCAAGGCTGTTGCAAGGCTGTCACTGTGTGATTGTTTTGTCTCACCCCTGTAACCTCCCCCTCCCCCTCCAGTTTCCCACCAACCAAACGTATAAAACTGGAGCCTTTCCTTTGTGCTCGGCTCAGACTTTGGACATTAGTCCACGGAGTCCGTGTACACCTAAAAGCTGGAAATCCTCCTGTATCACCCATCATTCTTTCCGGTCTCGATATCCTGCAACACTAGTGTGGATGGCAGAACTGCAGTGGGTCCTGCAGTCACTGCTCTTTCTGCTTTCTGTTTCTAGTTTCATCACATCAACCATTTGGCCTTCACACAATTCTTTTAATAAACATGTGTTATGTGCAAGTAAAACTTGTCTATTTAAGAATTCTAGGGAAGGCTGGGGATTTAGCTCAGTGGTTCCGCCACCTGCCTTGCAAGCACAAGGACCCGAGTTCGATCCCCAGTACCAAACAAAGAATTCTAGGGAAGGTAGGTCATGGATAGGGTTAATTCTTCACAAGGATTCCAAGACTTAGTCTAGTCTGAGAGCTCTGAATATAGAGGAGTGTTCATCCTGGAGGTGGTGGCTTTGAACACAGTATGTGAACTGGGTTGTGTTTGTATACACAAAGACTGGGAGAGGTATTTCCACTGAAGGTGGTAGTGTGGACAGAAACCTGTGAATGGGAAAGAAAGGAACTGAGACCAGAAAGGTTTGTTAGGGCTATGCTGTAGTCCGAGTTTGCAAGGGAACAGATTTACTATAGGACACATAATTTACAGGATTATTTTATAATATTCACCCAAAAAGTCAAGTACACAGGAGTGCAAGAGATCTGTCCGAGCACTAGAGGCCTGGATTCCACAGCAGTGTCCCACACAGGTCCAGATGAAGGTCTAGATCCCAAGGCAGTGTCCTCCACGAGTCCAGCCAGAGGCCTAGAGTCCACAGCAATATCTCATGCAAGTCTGTATTGAGAACCTGCACTGGAAAGGCCCAAAGGCCAGTGGTGGAAGCTCGAAAGTCTGTACCAGCACGGTGAAGGATCTGTGCCACCAGGCTGAAGGATCTGCAGTGCAGTGAGGAAGTGATGCTCGAGGCAAAGACTAGAGCTCCCCTGATGAGAACAGCAGCCACCCTTGGTGACAGTGAGGCCCTGAGCCCAAGCTCCTCTGATGATAACCGCCAAGTTCGCGTTGGGAAAACCAGCCCTGGCAAGCTTCTCCAAGAAAATGAACAGTGTATAATCTTCCTCTCCAGTTCTCTTTTTATGCCATTGGCAACAACCCTCATGTGGTCCTCCACTCCCAGAACCACGCTCACTCAGTTCAGCTGGGGGTTCCAAGTTGGTCATTGGTTAATCCACCACAGGCCGATTCTGGAATGCCTTACAATAAGGAATTTGAACTTTTTTTTTGGTCCTTCCTGATTGCCACCTCTAATGCTCTTTAGAAATTTGGACTTTTACAAACAGGCGAGAACCACAAAGGATTTGTGAGCAAGGAAAAAATATGATCAGAATTGTTCTTTGGAGGATAAACAGGATTTAGGATTTTTAGAATTAGGACGACTTCAAAGATCGTCTGGCCCAATATTTCCCAAGTGGGAACATTTGCAAAACTCTTCATTCAGCAGGATTTAGTAACTTTTATACTAAAGAGAGGGTGAGTAGCTAAATAAATTCTGAAAAATGCTTTGTGATGGTTGGTGAGAATGTAAATTAGTACAGTTATTATGGAAAACAGTATAGAGGTCTATCAAAAATTTAAAAGTAGGACTACCAGGCAATCCAGCAATCCCACTACTGGGTATATATCCAGGTATATATCCAAGGGAAACGGAATCAGGATATTGAAGAAAGATTTGCATGATTATGTTCACTGTAGCACTATTCACAATAGCCAGGATATGTTATCAACCTAAATGTCCACCACCGGATGAACGGGTAAGGAAATGGTGGTGCATGTAGACAAAATGGAAGAATATTCAGCCATAAAATGGTGAAATCCTGTCATTGGCAGGAGCATGGATGAGCCTCGAGGACATTTTAGCAAGTGACATAAATCAGGCAAAGAAGACAGGCACTGCATGATGTCACTCATACTCGGAATAAAAACAAAGATCTCGTTGATGTTGAGAGTAAAATGTGGCTCCACCTTCTGCAGAGAGGGAGGGAGGGCAGGATGGGGAGAGGCCAGCTCGTAGGTGCAGAGTTACAGGTGGGGTGGGGCAAGTTCTCTGCGTCCTGTTGCACAGTAGGATGACTATAGTTAGCAACAATGCAGTGTGTATTTAAAAATAGCTCTTAAGAGTTTTGAACGTTCTCATTCACAGAGAGATGATGTTTACTGCAGTGGACACATTCATTAACCCAATTTGATCGCTACACAATGGATGCATGTATTCCAACATCATATTATAACTTCATAAATATGTGCAATTATTATGTGTCACTCAATAAAAATAAGGGTTCAGAGACATGCTCGTGTCATCCCTGGTGCTCTGGAAGATGGCTTGTGCATGAGATTACTCTGCAACACAGTGAGACCCCCCCTCCTCTCAAAATAAAATAAAATAAAAAGAAATAAGAAAATAAAGAAACATATGTTGTGTGACATGAATATAATAGGTTAATCTTTCCTTAGTCCCTCCCTCCTCCTAAGCCGTCCCACCCTCTTCTCCTTTTACTTTTACACTTCTGAGGGTCATTAACAAACTCCCGTCTCTTATACCCTATTGTGATTCTTACAGCAGCCACTTGGCCAAATTTACAGACCTGGAAACTGAATGTGTGGGTGGGGGAGAATCCAAAGGGCACCTCTGTTCACAGTTCCCTTGAGGTGAACACCAAAGTGAGGGAGATCGTTGTGACCAGCCCAAAGGTTGGGCAAGAGGAGGTTCTCGACAATCTGTTTTGGGACATCTCATAAGGTACAGTGGTTTTGTGAAGTTGGGTTTCTCTGCAGCTTTGGGGATGGATGCTGTGAACTGCCTTGCCCTGGGTTCTGGTTCCCAATACTGGCTGTGCCACTGTTGAGGAATAGCTTGTTTACACTGACAACCCAGGTGATTTCATGTCCAAGGCCTGGTTTAGTAAATGACTGTCAGCCACTTTACACTCAGGGCTGTGTTCTTGAAAACAGAGGCCGGGAGGGAATAGTCAGGAGCTCCATTTCCCTCTGCAATAGAGAAACAGATTTAACCTACACAGCTACATGCATGGGTTCTGCTTTGAACAGAAAATAGCAAGTGACCAAAACTAAACTTCCCTGTGAAAATAACCTTTCCATTCTACCATGATTTCCATGAACTTAGCCAGGCGCAGGCTATGAATCATAAAGTTGCACATTGCACAGGGAGGGAGGTGGCGCTGAAGCAGTGAGTTTGTCCAATTCTCGGGTCCCGAGTCAGGTGTATTTGAAGGATGGATGCAACCAGTTTAGAAATCACTTCATTTGTCCCATTCTCAGTGGCAGGCAGTGGAGAGGCAGCGGCTTAGTCGGTCGCTGTGTGTGACTTCCTACGTACAAGACGTTCATGTGTTCCTTCTTTCTTCATTCATCTGGCAAATACCAACCTGGCTTTTCAGAACTTGCAGCCCTGAGATTCTCAGCCTGGGTAAGTGCTTTAGGTTTCATTTTATCCATATATAAAAATGTAGAGTTCAGGTAGGATTTTAAAGCTAGAGGGTATTTTGGAGAACTTCTAGACTAATTTGCTCACTTCGCACGCGAGGAAGCCAGACTCAGGGAAGCAGACTTGGGTCTAAGATCTCTGCGGATGTGCTCTCTTCTCCCACACCGTGGGCTGTGAGGAGCGAGGGAAGGAAAGAGCCTCAAGAGGGCGCTGTTGGACCGCTGCTGACACCGCAAATGAAGGCAACGAGTTAGGTTCGGCAGAGACCACTCTGAAGCGACACAGATTGCTTCCTCTTGTATTACCTTAAAAACACTTCCCCTAGATATTTTGATGGCTCTTTTTACTTCCTGTCATCTTTCAATGAACGTTGGGTTTTAGGCAAAGACCGACAACTGGGCTGATTCTAGGGAGGATGCCCACAGGTGAGCCAGAGGAGGAAGGACTGGCTCTCCGGAGAATGAGCTCAGCAGAACCTCTGAGCAATGGCGCCCTTGCGCTGTCATCAGGTCCTGGCTGTGCTTCTCCCCAGCCGCTTCTCCTTAGCATTTATCCAAAAAACAGCTTAGCCCACGTCATTGCTCTAGATTAGGTCAGTGATGAAAATAATCACACATCATGTAGCAACAACCTAAAACCCTCCGTCTGAAGTGCGCCGATAGCACGAAAGAGGAAGGGCAAGAGACTTGAAATCAGCAGTAGACTAGGATGGAAAAAAAAAAAAACAGAGGCTATTTTCCAGTCACACAGGTGTTATGCAGAGCTGAGGAAATGAAATCCTCTTGGCAAGTTTACCGACCTTGGTCCCCGATTGGGATCGAACCCCTTG